TATAAATTCAAATTTATTAATAACAACAAAAAATTCTTTTGTATTGGTAAATCATCATTTACCAATATTACCAACACCTAAATCACTTATAACAATTTTATTAGAATATTAATAAAAAACGAAATAAATATATTTCATTGATCACAATCAACATATATATATATATATATATATATATATATATATATATATATATATATATATATATATATATATATATATTAGTCTAGATTTATTTTCTTTTTTGTTAGGATTTATTTTTCCTTATCATTTTATCTTGTTTTAATGATTTACTTTTATTTGAAGAAAAAAAAAATCTATTGGGAACATATTACTTTTATTAAAATAAACAATATAAAATTTTATTTTATTATAACATATTACTTGTATTTATGCTGTTCAAATTACTTTTATTAAAATAAACAATATAAAATTTTATTTTATTATAACATATTACTTGTATTTTTTTTCTAGTCTAGTTATCATAATTGAAGATATTCAATTTTTTTTTTAAACAAATAAGATATTCCTTTTCAAATTATTTATAAATTAAATTTATAGATTATATATGTCTTATTTCAAAGAAAATGAATCTTACCAAACATGACTATATTACCTTTTGTTGATTGATGGAAATATGTGGTCAAATTTTTTAAAATTTGACCTATTTATTTATGAGAAGGGTACTATGTATTATTTTGTCTTCACAAGCTTAGTTGTCGTGTATATACTTCTTATGTAAGCTTGCTAGTTGCCTAGTTGCTACTGCTAGCTGTTATCTTTTGTTGCTGGTTCAAGGACTTTTGTCCTTCATCTTGATCAACAAAAAAAGACCTTGAGCCAACAATTAAAAGATCAAGGGCAAATGGCTTTTTTTTACGAGGTTGTTGTATTTCCCTTTATGTGTAAAAAAAAAAGGAGAGAATCAAACATGACATTATATGTCAGCCTATTGAAAGCACGCTATTTATATGTTCATTTTTGGCGAAAGTATTGATGGGATCATTGGTATGATATACGAGTATTGAGAGGTGTTCCAAACGGAGGGTTGTGAGACAGTGAAATTATGTCTCGCGAGGGCATTATAGGCATTCCAGACGTCATTTTAGAAATGTCTCATTGAGCTGTTAAAACATACCACTGGAACTTCAGTGGTACAAAATACACTCTCAATGGTATAAAATGTAGTCTCAGTGGTACTCAAAAATATTCAACTAGAGTTTCAGTTGAACAAAATATAGACTCAGTGGCATTATAGGCCCTCACTACCTTTTTTACTCTTCCTATCTCTCTCCACATTTCTCTCTCTTCATTGTACCTTTTTATTTTTTTAATAGTTGTGAGACATAATATTATGTCTCACAACCCTACAATTTTACTTCCTCGAGTATTGATGGTATCATTGGTATGATTAAGCTACTCCGTATGAGATAAACATCGAAAACTTTGGTGTTGTTCGGTTGTCTTATTGTCTATTTATTAGCTACATCTCTTTCATTTATATATAATCATTGAAAACTTAGGTGTTGTTCTGTTGCCTTTATTTTTCATAGGCAATCAAAATTCTCATGATTTTCCTTTTGGACATGTTGGTTGATAAAAAAAGATTTAAAAAAAAAGAGGTTAAAAAAGACAAAAACAAAATGAAGGAAGTCTTAATTCATGAAAATTTCAACTTTTTACAAAATATGAGAATTTAGAGGTGATCAAAGGCCGAATTAGGTTAAAGCAAGAAAAAACAATCCGTATGCTTCGATTTAAAAAGTGCTTGCCCAAAGTCGTAAAATCATCAGGCCGGATTTTCGAGATGGAAAAAAAATCAACTACATATCCTAAATATGCATGCCAAAGCCCTCCCCCAAAATTGCACTCTGCTCTTGCCTCTTGCCACAGGGGAATGTAGGAACCTTTTTCATTGCATAATAGAAAGTGTCATGTAACTCATGTTGCATAGATTAAAAAAAGTGATGCACTTGTGACTTGTTGAAAAATGATTGAATTTAACAAGTGAAACACTAAGGGAAAATGCAAATTCTAAACAATCTAAGAAATTAGGATAAAAAACATAATTATTATCTATTGAAAAAGGCATCGATGTTAAGTATGACAATCAACCCTATTGTTTTTAAATACCAAATAGTGTATATATACTACGTGTATAGAAAACAAATGTTATTAAGGTTGTATGATTATACTTAGGGTCTGTTCTCATACATTTATTTTCAGTAGTTTAATTCAGTTCAGTTCAGTTCAGTTCAACTGATTTCAGTCTAATAGAACATACCCTTAGTTAAAAAAAATAATACTTGTAAAAGTAATAGTTGAATTACATAAAAGTAGGCAAATGGAGTGTGGACAATAGAGTTATACTAATAACTAGGTTAGTTCCCGTGCCAAGCACAATAATTTTCAATAATCATTATTAAACTATCATTATAATTGATTTTTATAAACAAAAAAAATCTAGAATATAGTTGACAAATTTTGATCAAAGTACTGAATTACAAAAGATATGTTAGATTTAAATTATTAGAAAATAATCATAACTAAGTTAAGAAAGTTTTTTTTTTTAATTATTTTTTTGTATAACTCTATAAAAATTTGTGTTAAAGATATGTCAAATCTTTTTATTTTTAGTAATTATATTGTATAACATTAGGGAATTATTATGTACAGAATTTGTTTCTTTAATATAATTTCAAAAAAGAAAAAAAAACCCTACTAAGGACACACCAGAAGATGACACGTGTTATTATTGGTGTGTCTTTTAGTATATTGTTATTGATGGTGTGAAAAAATTACTACGTATAAAGAATGTTAGTAACGGTCAAATTTTGTCCTCCAATAATAAGCCCATAGCTGATAGGATAGCTACACAATTACGATTTACGACTTACAAGTATTATTCATAAAGAGCAACTACCAATTGGTTGTTGGTGTAGTGGTGATTGAGACTACACTTGGTAGGGAGGACTCGTGTTCGATCCCCCACAACAACAATTGGGAAGGGACTGGAACCTAACCACCCAGAACTGATCCCCGAAATCCGAATTAGCCCAAAGGGTGAACCGGGTAGAACACCAAAAAAAAAAAAAAAATTGACTTGAATATAATGACGATGTTAACCCTTTTATTCCTAATTTGAAAGTGACATCATAATGGATGTACTTTTGTAACTTCCTAGCAGGCTAGCATCCTCTATCGTTGGAAACGTCAATGTTAAAGGATACGGAGTACTACGTACCTTTATTAAGTAGTCAAAATTATTAGTGGTATCTCTTTCCAGTCCATTTGACGAAAGATCAAAGTAGTGTATGGCCGTTTTAATAACCAAAACAAGGATAATAATATACGTAGTAATAAAATAAAATAGAAACACTCACCAATTTTTTTATTTTTTATTGACAATACTCAACAATAAATTATAAATGAGTACATGTCAAATTACATAATTGATACTTCGTAGCTTATTCATTTATATCAAATTATACGAGCAAGAAGCCTATAGCTCAGTGGAGCTAAGCTTCAGTTCCCGTGATAGTGACCCGGGTTCGAGGCTCATATCCCCCCTCCCCTGAGGGTAATACCCCCTTGATATTCCTGTGATAGGAAATTAAGGTGGGGCCCACCCCTTACCCCTTAAAAAAAATTATATCAAATTATACAATACTAAAATCTATATTGTGATTGATTTTGTGCATTATGCACAATATACATTTGGGTTGTCATGAATATAAACTCATTTTCATTTCCTATTCTCTCATTTAAAGCTCTTCCAACTTATCAAATTAGTCTGAAACACATGAAATTTAAGTGTGAAAGGCATATACTCCCCAAATTCCTTAAACCTAGTATTTATTGTCTCGTATTTTTACTAATTAAGTATATAAATTGATCTTGAGTTTCAACCAAAATATTTAGTTAATATTTTAGGATAAGAATATACTCTAACATCCCCTTTTACGCAAGAATTCCTTGGGCTTGGAAAGTGGATGCAAGCCCCACCACATTCATCGCTTAATATCTATATATACACTCATACTCCCTCAATTTCCTAGTAAGTGCAACAATTTCTTATTTGGTAAGGATCTATTACCTCCGGTCCAAATTACTTGCAACTTTTGGGTATTATTTGTGAGATATAAAATATTTCAAAGTTGCGAGTAATTTGGACCGGAGGTATTATTATTATTTTATAATTTCTCTCTCTTACTAACACTATTTTCATTTTTAATTATTTTTCTTTTACACTAACTCTACTTACACTACTTTTTTTCTAAAAAAAAGGAAAATTATTTATCTCAATTACCAACTACAAAGTTTTTATATTATAAAAAACCCTTGTTTGGTCCCCTCGTATAATTTTCCTAAAACTTTGTGCACATCATAGTGTTGTGATTATTGTGAAACAGATGAAGTATATTAAAAGGCGTTTCTAAGAATGTCTATGTACCCTGAGACAGTGTCAGAATCAAAATTTTCAAGTGAGAGGGGCCAAGATCATATCTATGTATGTGTAATCTTCGCAAGTAGTATTGAGTTCGTGGATTACATTTACTTTATATATATATATATATATATATATATATATATATATATATATATATAATAAAAAAACACTACAAAATGTTAATTATAAGATTTGAACTCTTGACATTTTGTCCACTATTATATGACAAAAATCAACTCTTCTACACTAAAATTTATAACAAGTATAGTATAAGCAAAAATTAATATTCATCTTGAGCCCAGGGGGAGGCTATGGCCCACCCCAGCCCCCCCCCCCCCCACCCCCTTTGGCTCCGCCCCTGCCCTGAGACTAGGGGTGTTAATTGAGCGAGTTATTTTAATTTAAATCCTTTTAATTTAGATAGACAAATGCTTTTACTTTAAATCCTTTTAATTTACAAATTTTAGTTTAGAAATTATTGACTACAAGTGTACAACCATGTTTCCTTTTTATGTCATACTCCGTATCAAATTTGCGGATTTGCCTGAATAATTAAGTCAATAAGTTCTTTTCCTTGTTCATCAATCATCATTAATGAGGTCACAAGTTTAAGTAGACAATAACAGTCCCAGAAACAATCATTCTTGCCAAAGTTAGCAAATGAAATTCCAAACACGTTTCCAACTCACTACTTCAACAGGCTCAAACGTGAAACTCCCTCTCTTTCTCTTTCTTCAAATTGCTGTCAATTTTCCGGAATTTCAGCTCATCACTTTGAGTATTTTGCTATAAAAATGGCTACTGCAACTTCAAACCTTCACTCACCCCTTTTAATGGCTGACACCGTCCCCAATTCCGTCGATTACAAGGGTCGTCCTGCTGTTCGATCTAACCATGGACGTTGGTTTTCTGCTTTATTTATCATCTGTAAGTTCACAATTTTTAACAAAATTATAACCCCACTTTTTAATTTTCAATTTCTTTTGTGGGGTTGAATGAAATTTGATTTTTGATGAAGGGGTGGAGATGGCAGAGAGGATTGCATTTTATGGGATTTCATCGAATTTGATAAGTTTTTTGACTGGGAAATTGGGGCAGTCAACGGCAATGGCGGCTGTTAATATTAATGCTTGGAGTGGAGTAGCTTCTTTGCTTCCAATTTTTGGGGCTGTTATTGCTGATTCTTTTGCTGGAAAGTTTTATACCATTATTGTATCTTCAGTCATTTACATTTTGGTTAGTTTTCTATTTATTCTGTCTTTTTCATTGTTTTTATTGTTTGAAGTTTCAATTGTTAGCTTGTTTGGGGTTTTGATGCTCAGAGTACGCTTGAACACTCGAGAGTATGATGCGCATTATGTTCAGAATTAAAAATGTGTCTCATGAAAGTGAAATAAGTTGTATTGACTCTGATCAACTTGAATGTTTGGTTGATCAGTTGGAGTAGAAAAGGCAAAATTGACTATAATATTTAGCATTGAGATGATTGACTATTTGACTTACTTTAGATGATGATGGGAAATTGGACTATATTGAATTGTTGATAGTGATACTGATGTTAGTAGTAGTGATTTGTTATGCTGGTTAATTAGAGTAAATGAGGAGAATACCCGTTTTGAATTGAGTCTACATGTAAAAATCTGTTATGAGTGGATATTTTAAATCATCATTTGATGAACAAAAGATTTAGAGGCTGTTTGGTTGGGGGTGATTTGGTGAGGGAAAGCCGGAAAGGTAATAAAACCCCCCTTTCCCTTAGTGTGTGGTCAGTTTCTGGAGTTTGTCCGGTTGAGAGTGGGTACCAATTGAGAAAAGGATGGGATTGGAGCTACTCTACTTTGTATTCTTTCCGTAGTTGGGTCATCCAGTGAAGTTGCTTTCTCCTCTATTTGATAGCATATGCTAATAATGTTATGTTATTATACTGTGGTAAAATTGCTCTCCTTTGAGAGTTCTCTAGTTATTTAGTGTTCAGTGACTTGTGGAATTTGCATTGTTTCAGTTTTTATGATTTGGTCTCATATATGACTATTATGAGTAGTTCAAGATTGGATTCATTTTTATATAGAATATTGTAACTCTGTAAGTATAGTTTGTAGGTCTCATTTACATTGAAAGTTTAGATTTTGATTTTTTTTTTCTTCTCGTTTTATACTAATTATATTTACTACTCATTTCACTTGGATGGCCACTAGGGGCTAGGCTTGCTTACATTGTCAGCGATGCTTCCTTCACTTAGTTGTCCCAACCAAGGAAGAAGCATTGTGGGTGGACAGGAATGTTCACCACATTTGCAGACAGTTATATTCTTTATCGCTCTATATCTGGTGGCTGCTGGGCAAGGTGGGCACAAGCCTTGTGTTCAGGCTTTTGGGGCTGATCAATTTGATGGAGAAGATCCAGGGGAGCTCAAGGCAAAAAGCTCTTTTTTCAATTGGTGGTATTTTGGTGTTTGTGTGGGTAGTTTGCTAGGCATTGGAGTCTTGAGCTATGTTCAGGACAACCTTAGTTGGGGCCTTGGATTTGGAATTCCATGTATTATCATGGTAATATCTGTGCTCATATTTCTTTTTGGAACTGTGACTTATCGCTACAATATGAAAGTCGAAGGGGAAAGTCCATTTACAAGGATTGGAAGAGTATTTGTTGCAGCAGCCCAGAATTGGAATACTGCACCTCCTGAGGATGGCGATAATGAAGAGGCTCAATTTCATGATGGATCTAGACAATTCAAGTTCCTTGACAAAGCTTTGGTTGCACAAGAAATTTCAAATAGAATTGGGAAATCTTGCAGTAAAAGCAATGTTGAAGAGGCAAAGGCAGTACTTAGGTTGTTTCCAATTTGGGCAACAACATTGATCTTCGCAATTGTCTTCTCACAGCCACCAACTTTCTTCACCAAACAAGGCATAACGTTGAATAGATCAGTTGGATCTAATTTTGCTATACCAGCAGCCGCATTGCAGTCTTTTATAGGCATCTTTATTGTCATCTTTCTCCCAATTTATGATCGCGTTCTTGTGCCAGTTGCCAGAAAAATTACTGGAAATCCTGCTGGCATATCAATGCTTCAGAGAATTGGAACTGGTCTGTTCATTTCCATTATTGTTATGGTGCTTTCCACCATCATAGAGAAGAAAAGGCTTGAAACTGCTTCTCAACATGGACTGATAGACTTGCCTGATATGACAATCCCAATGAGTATTTGGTGGCTGCTTCCGCAATATGCTTTATTTGGTATTTCAGAGGCATTTACCATGGTTGGTCTGCAAGAATTTTTTTACGACCAAGTCCCAAATGAATTGCGCAGTGTAGGATTGTCTCTGTATCTGAGTATATTTGGCTTAGGAGGCCTTTTAAGCAGCTTGCTTGTTACACTGATCAACAAAGCAACTAGTAGAGGTGGGAAAGAGAGTTGGTTTTCGAATAACTTGAATCGTGCACATCTTGATTACTTCTATTGGCTGCTTGCTGGTCTTAGTAGCATAGGTTTGTGTCTTTTTGTTTATTTTGCAAAGTCATACATATACAACAAAAAAAATACTAGTCTATAGTAGGTAATAGAATGCTACTTCATGTTGTATGCAAATAGTAAGCAAGGGGCAAAATGTAATGACACACTGTTGGGTGACTTAATTAATGCTCTTTAGGAAAATATTAGAGCTTATTGTACTACGAAGTATTATATTTCACCCATGTGTAAAATCAGATGTGAGCAATGTTGAAGTGAATTGCACAAGTAGTTGTTTTGAGAGAAATCTACGAATCATACTTGTTTCTTAAACTGAAAATGTTATGAATTATTATTCTATTCCTTGATGTTTTTATTGCACCAGGACTCCAGGATTGATTTTCTTCATCTTTCACCATGCATACACTTTTACACCATTAACATACTTACGTACTAGCTTAACATTGTACTCAGCTGTAGGAGATTTCATGCATCTTGGGGCCTATGCAGCAAAAATAGCTTGTACGGTTGATGGTCGCTGTTAGCTGTTACTCTGTTACGGAGTAGTTGCTAGTTGACAGATAATAGGGAAAGGAAGGGTTTTTCACTCACCTTTTATTTACTTGAGAAAGTTGAGAAGGTAATCTTTTATTTTACTATTACCTAAATATATGTGAAATGGATTGTTAAATCTATATAGTTTTGTACTCACTTGTCATTGCGTAATCTACAAAAATCATAAATCAAAGTCAAACATCATCTCTCTCTATTTCACATACAGAGGCATTTACTGCAATGACCACTTGCAGATTTTTGGATTTTTCATTTGGGGAGTGCTTTGCTTAAAAATCTATAATATAAAAGAAAACTTCCAACTCTAACTAACATTACTGCTATTGCTGTTGATTCACCTTCTGCTGAGCATCTCCCTTATTCCGTTGCGTACACCTCATGGAAGAACATACACAACAATCAGGACAAGGCATTGTTCCTGGTGCTGTTGACTACAAGCACCGTCCTGCAGTCAGGTCTAAACATGGACGGTGGATATCTGCTTCTTTCATCATTTGTAAGTAGCTCTCTTTCCCTTTTAGTTTGATACAAATAAACAAGTACTCACTTTGCCATTTTAATCCCATGTTTAACTGAATATGTTCTCAAAGGGGTGGAGATGGCCGAGAGGATTGCAATTTATGGGATATCAGGAAACTTGATTAGCTATTTAACAGGGAAGTTGGGGCAGTCAACAGCAATGGCGGCTTCAAGCATCAATACTTGGGGTGGAATAGCTGCGTTACTTCCAATTTTAGGGGCTATTATTGCTGATTCTTTTGTTGGAAAGTATTATACTATTATTGTTGCCTCTTTCATTTACATCTTGGTTAGTTATCTCACTTCATTTCTCTGTTATACATTTACAGGTTTTATAAAACTTCAATTTAAGCTTTAGTTTCCTTTTGGTGCTTTAAATCTTGATGGGTTTTTATGAAACAGATAATTTTTTTTAGGAATCTGAATAGGAATAAACGGGAATTGAACTATTCTTGTACAAAATGATTGATAGATTTACAACTCTTTCTTTAAGTGCGATTTTTTTGATGTTGCATGCTTAATTGATGAAGGTTTGGTTTGGAATGTGGATGATAGTAAAATAGTAAATGACATGAATTAGCTGTGCAGTGTAACTATGTTGGTTCACAAGTTGGCAATTGAATAGTAATCTTTATGTGAAGGCAGTATTGCAGAAGTGTTGAGTTCCAAGATTTTAAACTGAAGTACTTCTGTTACATGAGTGGCCATAAAATCCATCTATTGAAAATGTTTTTTTTTTTTTATTTATTTTTTTAATAAATATTTATATTTTTTCCTTCAGTTTACTATACAGTAGTATTTATCTCATCTGAATGGCGTATCAGGGGCTGGGTTTGATGACTTTGTCAGCAATGCTACCATCTTTTAATTGTCTCGACCAAGAAACAGATAGCAAGGGCACTCCTGGATGTACCCGACACTCACAGGTAATACTATTTTTTATTGCCCTTTATTTGGTGGCTGTTGGGCAAGCTGGGCACAAGCCTTGTGTTCAGGCTTTTGGTGCTGATCAGTTTGACGAAGAAGATCCCATGGAAAGCAATTCCAAAAGCTCTTTCTTTAATTGGTGGTATTTTGGTCTTTGCATTGGTGCTTTGCTAGGTGTTGGAGTCTTGAGCTATGTTCAGGACAACCTTAGTTGGGATCTTGGGTTTGGAATTCCATGCATTATCATGGTAATTGCTCTAGTGATCTTTTCGGTTGGAACTATGACTTATCGGTATAGAGAGAAAAGCGAAGGAGAAAGTCCATTCAAAAGGATTGGAAGAGTGTTTGTTGTTGCAGCAAGGAATAGAAATGCACTTCTTGTTGCTGGTGACAGAGGAGAGGCTGATTTTGAAGAAATCGAACCTCATGATGGATCTCGACAGTACAGGTTTCTAAACAAAGCTTTACTTGCACCTGAGATTGTAGAGTTAGGTGTCCGATCTTGCAGCAAGAGCGAGGTTGAAGAGGCAAAGGCAGTACGTAGGCTGTTTCCCATATGGGCAACAACGTTGGTGTTTGCAATTGTCTTCTCACAAGCTGCGACTTTCTTCACCAAACAAGGCATTACATTGGATAGATCACTTGGATCTAATATTGCTATACCAGCTGCAGCATTGCAGTCTTTTTCTGGCATCTGCATTATTGTCTTTATTCCCATTTATGACCGTGCTCTTGTGCCAATAGCCAGAAAGTTGACCAGAAAGCCTGCAGGCATATCATTGCTGCAGAGGATTGGAATTGGGCTGTTTATATCCATCTTTACAATGTTAGTTGCTGCTGTCACAGAGAAAAAAAGGCTCGAGATTGCTTCTCAACATGGGCTGATAGATTTGCCTAAGGTTACAATACCAATGAGTATTTGGTGGATGCTTCCACAATATGCCTTGTTTGGAATTTCAGAGGCATTTACCTTGGTTGGCCTGCAAGAATTTTTCTATGACCAGGTACCTAATGAATTGCGTAGTGTGGGATTGTCACTGTATTTGAGTATATTTGGAATAGGAGGCCTTTTAAGTAGTCTTCTTATTACATTGATCAACAAAGCAACCAGTAGAAGTGGGGGAGAGAGTTGGTTTTCGGATAACTTGAATCGCGCACATCTTGATTACTTTTATTGGCTACTTGCTGGTCTAAGTGTCTTAGGGTTGGCTCTTTTCGTGTATTTTGCAAAATCATACATATACAATAAAAATAAGGCTCGCCTATAGAAGGTGATGGAATGCTTCTTCCTGCTGTATGTAAATTTTAAGTAAAGTGTGAGATGTGAAGTCAAGGTGTTGTTATATATTTAATGCTCTAATCATTTTAATGCTTTGTGTATTCTGTTGATTCCCCATGTGTGTAAATTAGTAAATGTAATCGTGATCAATGCTGGAGTGTAAATCAGACTTACATTTTATTACTAATATTGGCATACTAATTCAGATATAGAAGCTGTAAATTTGTAATCAGAAAAATTTACATCGTACGGGCTTATTAGATTGTACTTAACTTTCTTTTTTTTTTTTTCTGCACTTTCATTGTCCTTGGATCTCGTTATCTTTTGTCATCCAAGTATAGTAATCTTTTGTACTCGGATCTCGTTATCTTTTGTCATCCATGACTGCTTTTTTTTTTTTTCTGCTGTAAATTATAATAATAAGCACTAAGGCACTTCTGTAATTTGCTTCAAATGACATTTGCCTGTGTTTTCAGATTGAGAAGTATACTTACCAGCACAGTGGCATGGTCCATGTGCCGTCCACAGTTCTCGTAAGAAGATCTTCCAAGCTTTATACAAAGGTTGGGTTTCCTCTGTGATTGTAGTTGTAAGTCTGACTTAAAATACTCTATGTATTCAATACTTGTTAGGTGCAGATTGTAAATGCTATGTGCTCTTGAATTCAGCTGCTGCAACTGCAAGAAATTGGGTTTTCATTGCACTTCTTGTTCTTAGAGCACCAGAATCCAGGATACATGCAAGAAATTGTTATTATTCATCATGCTTACATTCACATTCCACTCGCACTCAAACTGTGAAATTTAAACCATATAAACCAAATATAATTGCAAAAAATTGGTTTATCAGTTAGTTAGTGTTGTTCTATTCTACTTTTGGTGTATAGGGAGTCCTGTAAGAAGACAAAGCAGGTGGGATTCAGCCACTTGTGCTAGCTGACAATTACATTGTTATTCAATTCATTGCTATATATAGTCCTATTATACATCGATTACGTCTCTTTCAGTCCTATTGCATACTACACTTGTCTTTATGAGCTGTAGAAGGGTACTTAACACGCCTGGGTTCGCCTATTATATCTTCCTCGTCTGGATACCCATCATTATGGACAAGGACTTGGAAAGTTGGAATATTACTTTGTGAATTTCATACTTCCTTGTCTTCCCTTTAAAAGCTGTGACTATTACTATCTCCTGGGTCAATATTTATTTATTCTCTGTACCCCACCTTAACTGATCCTCTCCCTAATCGGCCCAATCAAATGATTTTCCTAAAAATTATTCATTACAGTCAGGACTCAAGGGCTGATGTCAATTATTTAAATAAATTTGTGCAGTTGAAATAATCCTAGGGAAGGATTGTCAACTACTCTGTAACTAGCTTACTTGGTAAAGTATTACGATGTAGTACTCACAATTCCGGTTTGAATCCTAGTTTGTCCACTAATCTTTGTTACTCTCTGCATCTGAAACCTGCAGATTTTGGCTTGCCTGCTGGGGGAAACTGGTGTTCTGTATTGTGATGTCAACCTCCAACTCTAAATCCAATGCGGTTGTTGTCGGAATAACGTCAGCTGAGCCTGAGCTTCTTTCTTACACACCTCTTCTCATGGTGGAACAACAAGAGCAAGTAGAAGACACAGTTCCTGGCGCAGTTGACTATAAGCACTGCCCTGCCATCAGATCCAAGCATGGACAGTGGACTTCGGCTTCTTTCATCATTTGTAAGTTTATCAAGCCAATACCATTTTTGTTGACTTTAATCAAAATTTAATCTAATTTATTGTTAAAGGGGTGGAGATGGCGGAGAGGATGGCGTATTATGGGATATCAGGAAACTTGATAAGCTATTTAACGGGGAAATTGGAGCAGTCAACGGCAATGGCGGCTTCGAGTATCAATGCCTGGAACGGGGTGGGTTGTTTGCTTACTATACTGGGGGCGGTTATTGCTGATTCTTTTGTGGGCAAGTATTATACAATCGTTGTTTCTTCCATCATTTACATCTTGGTAAGTTTTCAAGTATGATTGATTTATTGATTGATGATGAATTGGATAGTGAAAAAACAGAATTGCATGAAATATATAATTGAACTACACTGTTAGTGAATAATTTTAGGAATCACTATTGCAAAAACATTGGCTGCCAAAAAAAAAAAAGTAACTACATAAAAATATGAAATAAGTGATTGAATAAATGTTAATGCTCATGGTATGCTGTAGCTTTATTTTACTTAGGAAATTCTGTGTTTTATTTTGTTTTGGCAAGTCAGGGGTTATCTAAGATACGACCACAATCATTCAAGGTATATACCTTTACAATCATATGTCGATCACCATATATAACGTAAATCATCATACACACAAGAGATTATAGTTACCACCACATATTACTGAATTTACTATGATGATTTTACAAACTACCTTCTCTACCTACCAGAATAATACAGTAATTTTTTTTCACCTTGGATATAGCATGTTATTTTGGACTTGGTGGTAATCACATGTTGCTATATATACAGCAATTTTTTTTTTTTATTTTTTTGGTAATGGAGTGCATTGTGTGAATATGCAGTAATATTTCCTATCCAATATTTATCTAATCTGAGTGCTTTGCTAGGGGCTGGGCTTGTTGACTTTATCAGCAACGTTGCCATCCTTTAGTTGTTTCAACCAAGATACAAGCGACGAGGTTTCTTCAGGACGTTCTCCACAGTCACAGATATTATTATTCTTTATTGCCCTTTACCTGGTGGCTGTTGGGCAAGGTGGTCACAAGCCTTGTGTTCAGGCTTTTGGGGCTGATCAGTTTGATGGAGAAGATCCTAAGGAGCGCAAAGCTAAAAGCTCTTTCTTCAACTGGTGGTATTTCGGTGTTTGCTTGGGTGGTTTGCTTGGTATTGGAGTATTGAGTTATGTTCAGGACAATCTTAGTTGGGGCCTTGGATTTGGAATTCCATGCATCATCCTGATACTTGCTCTGCTCATATTTATGTCTGGAACTATGACTTATCGCTACACTATGCAAGCTGAAGGGGAAAGTCCGTTCTCAAAAAAAAAAATGACTTGAATATAATGACGATGTTAACCCTTTTATTCCTAATTTGAAAGTGACATCATAATGGATGTACTTTTGTAACTTCCTAGCAGGCTAGCATCCTCTATCGTTGGAAACGTCAATGTTAAAGGATACGGAGTACTACGTACCTTTATTAAGTAGTCAAAATTATTAGTGGTATCTCTTTCCAGTCCATTTGACGAAAGATCAAAGTAGTGTATGGCCGTTTTAATAACCAAAACAAGGATAATAATATACGTAGTAATAAAATAAAATAGAAACACTCACCAATTTTTTTATTTTTTATTGACAATACTCAACAATAAATTATAAATGAGTACATGTCAAATTACATAATTGATACTTCGTAGCTTATTCATTTATATCAAATTATACGAGCAAGAAGCCTATAGCTCAGTGGAGCTAAGCTTCAGTTCCCGTGATAGTGACCCGGGTTCGAGGCTCATATCCCCCCTCCCCTGAGGGTAATACCCCCTTGATATTCCTGTGATAGGAAATTAAGGTGGGGCCCACCCCTTACCCCTTAAAAAAAATTATATCAAATTATACAATACTAAAATCTATATTGTGATTGATTTTGTGCATTATGCACAATATACATTTGGGTTGTCATGAATATAAACTCATTTTCATTTCCTATTCTCTCATTTAAAGCTCTTCCAACTTATCAAATTAGTCTGAAACACATGAAATTTAAGTGTGAAAGGCATATACTCCCCAAATTCCTTAAACCTAGTATTTATTGTCTCGTATTTTTACTAATTAAGTATATAAATTGATCTTGAGTTTCAACCAAAACATTTAGTTAATATTTTAGGATAAGAATATACTCTAACATCCCCTTTTACGCAAGAATTCCTTGGGCTTGGAAAGTGGATGCAAGCCCCACCACATTCATCGCTTAATATCTATATATACACTCATACTCCCTCAATTTCCTAGTAAGTGCAACAATTTCTTATTTGGTAAGGATCTATTACCTCCGGTCCAAATTACTTGCAACTTTTGGGTATTATTTGTGAGATATAAAATATTTCAAAGTTGCGAGTAATTTGGACCGGAGGTATTATTATTATTTTATAATTTCTCTCTCTTACTAACACTATTTTCATTTTTAATTATTTTTCTTTTACACTAACTCTACTTACACTACTTTTTTTCTAAAAAAAAGGAAAATTATTTATCTCAATTACCAACTACAAAGTTTTTATATTATAAAAAACCCTTGTTTGGTCCCCTCGTATAATTTTCCTAAAACTTTGTGCACATCATAGTGTTGTGATTATTGTGAAACAGATGAAGTATATTAAAAGGCGTTTCTAAGAATGTCTATGTACCCTGAGACAGTGTCAGAATCAAAATTTTCAAGTGAGAGGGGCCAAGATCATATCTATGTATGTGTAATCTTCGCAAGTAGTATTGAGTTCGTGGATTACATTTACTTTATATATATATATATATATATATATATATATATATATATATATATATATATATATATATATATATATATATATATATATATATAATAAAAAAACACTACAAAATGTTAATTATAAGATTTGAACTCTTGACATTTTGTCCACTATTATATGACAAAAATCAACTCTTCTACACTAAAATTTATAACAAGTATAGTATAAGCAAAAATTAATATTCATCTTGAGCCCAGGGGGAGGCTATGGCCCACCCCAGCCCCCCCCCCCCCCCCCCACCCCCTTTGGCTCCGCCCCTGCCCTGAGACTAGGGGTGTTAATTGAGCGAGTTATTTTAATTTAAATCCTTTTAATTTAGATAGACAAATGCTTTTACTTTAAATCCTTTTAATTTACAAATTTTAGTTTAGAAATTATTGACTACAAGTGTACAACCATGTTTCCTTTTTATGTCATACTCCGTATCAAATTTGCGGATTTGCCTGAATAATTAAGTCAATAAGTTCTTTTCCTTGTTCATCAATCATCATTAATGAGGTCACAAGTTTAAGTAGACAATAACAGTCCCAGAAACAATCATTCTTGCCAAAGTTAGCAAATGAAATTCCAAACACGTTTCCAACTCACTACTTCAACAGGCTCAAACGTGAAACTCCCTCTCTTTCTCTTTCTTCAAATTGCTGTCAATTTTCCGGAATTTCAGCTCATCACTTTGAGTATTTTGCTATAAAAATGGCTACTGCAACTTCAAACCTTCACTCACCCCTTTTAATGGCTGACACCGTCCCCAATTCCGTCGATTACAAGGGTCGTCCTGCTGTTCGATCTAACCATGGACGTTGGTTTTCTGCTTTATTTATCATCTGTAAGTTCACAATTTTTAACAAAATTATAACCCCACTTTTTAATTTTCAATTTCTTTTGTGGGGTTGAATGAAATTTGATTTTTGATGAAGGGGTGGAGATGGCAGAGAGGATTGCATTTTATGGGATTTCATCGAATTTGATAAGTTTTTTGACTGGGAAATTGGGGCAGTCAACGGCAATGGCGGCTGTTAATATTAATGCTTGGAGTGGAGTAGCTTCTTTGCTTCCAATTTTTGGGGCTGTTATTGCTGATTCTTTTGCTGGAAAGTTTTATACCATTATTGTATCTTCAGTCATTTACATTTTGGTTAGTTTTCTATTTATTCTGTCTTTTTCATTGTTTTTATTGTTTGAAGTTTCAATTGTTAGCTTGTTTGGGGTTTTGATGCTCAGAGTACGCTTGAACACTCGAGAGTATGATGCGCATTATGTTCAGAATTAAAAATGTGTCTCATGAAAGTGAAATAAGTTGTATTGACTCTGATCAACTTGAATGTTTGGTTGATCAGTTGGAGTAGAAAAGGCAAAATTGACTATAATATTTAGCATTGAGATGATTGACTATTTGACTTACTTTAGATGATGATGGGAAATTGGACTATATTGAATTGTTGATAGTGATACTGATGTTAGTAGTAGTGATTTGTTATGCTGGTTAATTAGAGTAAATGAGGAGAATACCCGTTTTGAATTGAGTCTACATGTAAAAATCTGTTATGAGTGGATATTTTAAATCATCATTTGATGAACAAAAGATTTAGAGGCTGTTTGGTTGGGGGTGATTTGGTGAGGGAAAGCCGGAAAGGTAATAAAACCCCCCTTTCCCTTAGTGTGTGGTCAGTTTCTGGAGTTTGTCCGGTTGAGAGTGGGTACCAATTGAGAAAAGGATGGGATTGGAGCTACTCTACTTTGTATTCTTTCCGTAGTTGGGTCATCCAGTGAAGTTGCTTTCTCCTCTATTTGATAGCATATGCTAATAATGTTATGTTATTATACTGTGGTAAAATTGCTCTCCTTTGAGAGTTCTCTAGTTATTTAGTGTTCAGTGACTTGTGGAATTTGCATTGTTTCAGTTTTTATGATTTGGTCTCATATATGACTATTATGAGTAGTTCAAGATTGGATTCATTTTTATATAGAATATTGTAACTCTGTAAGTATAGTTTGTAGGTCTCATTTACATTGAAAGTTTAGATTTTGATTTTTTTTTTCTTCTCGTTTTATACTAATTATATTTACTACTCATTTCACTTGGATGGCCACTAGGGGCTAGGCTTGCTTACATTGTCAGCGATGCTTCCTTCACTTAGTTGTCCCAACCAAGGAAGAAGCATTGTGGGTGGACAGGAATGTTCACCACATTTGCAGACAGTTATATTCTTTATCGCTCTATATCTGGTGGCTGCTGGGCAAGGTGGGCACAAGCCTTGTGTTCAGGCTTTTGGGGCTGATCAATTTGATGGAGAAGATCCAGGGGAGCTCAAGGCAAAAAGCTCTTTTTTCAATTGGTGGTATTTTGGTGTTTGTGTGGGTAGTTTGCTAGGCATTGGAGTCTTGAGCTATGTTCAGGACAACCTTAGTTGGGGCCTTGGATTTGGAATTCCATGTATTATCATGGTAATATCTGTGCTCATATTTCTTTTTGGAACTGTGACTTATCGCTACAATATGAAAGTCGAAGGGGAAAGTCCATTTACAAGGATTGGAAGAGTATTTGTTGCAGCAGCCCAGAATTGGAATACTGCACCTCCTGAGGATGGCGATAATGAAGAGGCTCAATTTCATGATGGATCTAGACAATTCAAGTTCCTTGACAAAGCTTTGGTTGCACAAGAAATTTCAAATAGAATTGGGAAATCTTGCAGTAAAAGCAATGTTGAAGAGGCAAAGGCAGTACTTAGGTTGTTTCCAATTTGGGCAACAACATTGATCTTCGCAATTGTCTTCTCACAGCCACCAACTTTCTTCACCAAACAAGGCATAACGTTGAATAGATCAGTTGGATCTAATTTTGCTATACCAGCAGCCGCATTGCAGTCTTTTATAGGCATCTTTATTGTCATCTTTCTCCCAATTTATGATCGCGTTCTTGTGCCAGTTGCCAGAAAAATTACTGGAAATCCTGCTGGCATATCAATGCTTCAGAGAATTGGAACTGGTCTGTTCATTTCCATTATTGTTATGGTGCTTTCCACCATCATAGAGAAGAAAAGGCTTGAAACTGCTTCTCAACATGGACTGATAGACTTGCCTGATATGACAATCCCAATGAGTATTTGGTGGCTGCTTCCGCAATATGCTTTATTTGGTATTTCAGAGGCATTTACCATGGTTGGTCTGCAAGAATTTTTTTACGACCAAGTCCCAAATGAATTGCGCAGTGTAGGATTGTCTCTGTATCTGAGTATATTTGGCTTAGGAGGCCTTTTAAGCAGCTTGCTTGTTACACTGATCAACAAAGCAACTAGTAGAGGTGGGAAAGAGAGTTGGTTTTCGAATAACTTGAATCGTGCACATCTTGATTACTTCTATTGGCTGCTTGCTGGTCTTAGTAGCATAGGTTTGTGTCTTTTTGTTTATTTTGCAAAGTCATACATATACAACAAAAAAAATACTAGTCTATAGTAGGTAATAGAATGCTACTTCATGTTGTATGCAAATAGTAAGCAAGGGGCAAAATGTAATGACACACTGTTGGGTGACTTAATTAATGCTCTTTAGGAAAATATTAGAGCTTATTGTACTACGAAGTATTATATTTCACCCATGTGTAAAATCAGATGTGAGCAATGTTGAAGTGAATTGCACAAGTAGTTGTTTTGAGAGAAATCTACGAATCATACTTGTTTCTTAAACTGAAAATGTTATGAATTATTATTCTATTCCTTGATGTTTTTATTGCACCAGGACTCCAGGATTGATTTTCTTCATCTTTCACCATGCATACACTTTTACACCATTAACATACTTACGTACTAGCTTAACATTGTACTCAGCTGTAGGAGATTTCATGCATCTTGGGGCCTATGCAGCAAAAATAGCTTGTACGGTTGATGGTCGCTGTTAGCTGTTACTCTGTTACGGAGTAGTTGCTAGTTGACAGATAATAGGGAAAGGAAGGGTTTTTCACTCACCTTTTATTTACTTGAGAAAGTTGAGAAGGTAATCTTTTATTTTACTATTACCTAAATATATGTGAAATGGATTGTTAAATCTATATAGTTTTGTACTCACTTGTCATTGCGTAATCTACAAAAATCATAAATCAAAGTCAAACATCATCTCTCTCTATTTCACATACAGAGGCATTTACTGCAATGACCACTTGCAGATTTTTGGATTTTTCATTTGGGGAGTGCTTTGCTTAAAAATCTATAATATAAAAGAAAACTTCCAACTCTAACTAACATTACTGCTATTGCTGTTGATTCACCTTCTGCTGAGCATCTCCCTTATTCCGTTGCGTACACCTCATGGAAGAACATACACAACAATCAGGACAAGGCATTGTTCCTGGTGCTGTTGACTACAAGCACCGTCCTGCAGTCAGGTCTAAACATGGACGGTGGATATCTGCTTCTTTCATCATTTGTAAGTAGCTCTCTTTCCCTTTTAGTTTGATACAAATAAACAAGTACTCACTTTGCCATTTTAATCCCATGTTTAACTGAATATGTTCTCAAAGGGGTGGAGATGGCCGAGAGGATTGCAATTTATGGGATATCAGGAAACTTGATTAGCTATTTAACAGGGAAGTTGGGGCAGTCAACAGCAATGGCGGCTTCAAGCATCAATACTTGGGGTGGAATAGCTGCGTTACTTCCAATTTTAGGGGCTATTATTGCTGATTCTTTTGTTGGAAAGTATTATACTATTATTGTTGCCTCTTTCATTTACATCTTGGTTAGTTATCTCACTTCATTTCTCTGTTATACATTTACAGGTTTTATAAAACTTCAATTTAAGCTTTAGTTTCCTTTTGGTGCTTTAAATCTTGATGGGTTTTTATGAAACAGATAATTTTTTTTAGGAATCTGAATAGGAATAAACGGGAATTGAACTATTCTTGTACAAAATGATTGATAGATTTACAACTCTTTCTTTAAGTGCGATTTTTTTGATGTTGCATGCTTAATTGATGAAGGTTTGGTTTGGAATGTGGATGATAGTAAAATAGTAAATGACATGAATTAGCTGTGCAGTGTAACTATGTTGGTTCACAAGTTGGCAATTGAATAGTAATCTTTATGTGAAGGCAGTATTGCAGAAGTGTTGAGTTCCAAGATTTTAAACTGAAGTACTTCTGTTACATGAGTGGCCATAAAATCCATCTATTGAAAATGTTTTTTTTTTTTTTATTTATTTTTTTAATAAATATTTATATTTTTTCCTTCAGTTTACTATACAGTAGTATTTATCTCATCTGAATGGCGTATCAGGGGCTGGGTTTGATGACTTTGTCAGCAATGCTACCATCTTTTAATTGTCTCGACCAAGAAACAGATAGCAAGGGCACTCCTGGATGTACCCGACACTCACAGGTAATACTATTTTTTATTGCCCTTTATTTGGTGGCTGTTGGGCAAGCTGGGCACAAGCCTTGTGTTCAGGCTTTTGGTGCTGATCAGTTTGACGAAGAAGATCCCATGGAAAGCAATTCCAAAAGCTCTTTCTTTAATTGGTGGTATTTTGGTCTTTGCATTGGTGCTTTGCTAGGTGTTGGAGTCTTGAGCTATGTTCAGGACAACCTTAGTTGGGATCTTGGGTTTGGAATTCCATGCATTATCATGGTAATTGCTCTAGTGATCTTTTCGGTTGGAACTATGACTTATCGGTATAGAGTGAAAAGCGAAGGAGAAAGTCCATTCAAAAGGATTGGAAGAGTGTTTGTTGTTGCAGCAAGGAATAGAAATGCACTTCTTGTTGCTGGTGACAGAGGAGAGGCTGATTTTGAAGAAATCGAACCTCATGATGGATCTCGACAGTACAGGTTTCTAAACAAAGCTTTACTTGCACCTGAGATTGTAGAGTTAGGTGTCCGATCTTGCAGCAAGAGCGAGGTTGAAGAGGCAAAGGCAGTACGTAGGCTGTTTCCCATATGGGCAACAACGTTGGTGTTTGCAATTGTCTTCTCACAAGCTGCGACTTTCTTCACCAAACAAGGCATTACATTGGATAGATCACTTGGATCTAATATTGCTATACCAGCTGCAGCATTGCAGTCTTTTTCTGGCATCTGCATTATTGTCTTTATTCCCATTTATGACCGTGCTCTTGTGCCAATAGCCAGAAAGTTGACCAGAAAGCCTGCAGGCATATCATTGCTGCAGAGGATTGGAATTGGGCTGTTTATATCCATCTTTACAATGTTAGTTGCTGCTGTCACAGAGAAAAAAAGGCTCGAGATTGCTTCTCAACATGGGCTGATAGATTTGCCTAAGGTTACAATACCAATGAGTATTTGGTGGATGCTTCCACAATATGCCTTGTTTGGAATTTCAGAGGCATTTACCTTGGTTGGCCTGCAAGAATTTTTCTATGACCAGGTACCTAATGAATTGCGTAGTGTGGGATTGTCACTGTATTTGAGTATATTTGGAATAGGAGGCCTTTTAAGTAGTCTTCTTATTACATTGATCAACAAAGCAACCAGTAGAAGTGGGGGAGAGAGTTGGTTTTCGGATAACTTGAATCGCGCACATCTTGATTACTTTTATTGGCTACTTGCTGGTCTAAGTGTCTTAGGGTTGGCTCTTTTCGTGTATTTTGCAAAATCATACATATACAATAAAAATAAGGCTCGCCTATAGAAGGTGATGGAATGCTTCTTCCTGCTGTATGTAAATTTTAAGTAAAGTGTGAGATGTGAAGTCAAGGTGTTGTTATATATTTAATGCTCTAATCATTTTAATGCTTTGTGTATTCTGTTGATTCCCCATGTGTGTAAATTAGTAAATGTAATCGTGATCAATGCTGGAGTGTAAATCAGACTTACATTTTATTACTAATATTGGCATACTAATTCAGATATAGAAGCTGTAAATTTGTAATCAGAAAAATTTACATCGTACGGGCTTATTAGATTGTACTTAACTTTCTTTTTTTTTTTTTCTGCACTTTCATTGTCCTTGGATCTCGTTATCTTTTGTCATCCAAGTATAGTAATCTTTTGTACTCGGATCTCGTTATCTTTTGTCATCCATGACTGCTTTTTTTTTTTCTGCTGTAAATTATAATAATAAGCACTAAGGCACTTCTGTAATTTGCTTCAAATGACATTTGCCTGTGTTTTCAGATTGAGAAGTATACTTACCAGCACAGTGGCATGGTCCATGTGCCGTCCACAGTTCTCGTAAGAAGATCTTCCAAGCTTTATACAAAGGTTGGGTTTCCTCTGTGATTGTAGTTGTAAGTCTGACTTAAAATACTCTATGTATTCAATACTTGTTAGGTGCAGATTGTAAATGCTATGTGCTCTTGAATTCAGCTGCTGCAACTGCAAGAAATTGGGTTTTCATTGCACTTCTTGTTCTTAGAGCACCAGAATCCAGGATACATGCAAGAAATTGTTATTATTCATCATGCTTACATTCACATTCCACTCGCACTCAAACTGTGAAATTTAAACCATATAAACCAAATATAATTGCAAAAAATTGGTTTATCAGTTAGTTAGTGTTGTTCTATTCTACTTTTGGTGTATAGGGAGTCCTGTAAGAAGACAAAGCAGGTGGGATTCAGCCACTTGTGCTAGCTGACAATTACATTGTTATTCAATTCATTGCTATATATAGTCCTATTATACATCGATTACGTCTCTTTCAGTCCTATTGCATACTACACTTGTCTTTATGAGCTGTAGAAGGGTACTTAACACGCCTGGGTTCGCCTATTATATCTTCCTCGTCTGGATACCCATCATTATGGACAAGGACTTGGAAAGTTGGAATATTACTTTGTGAATTTCATACTTCCTTGTCTTCCCTTTAAAAGCTGTGACTATTATTATCTCCTGGGTCAATATTTATTTATTCTCTGTACCCCACCTTAACTGATCCTCTCCCTAATCGGCCCAATCAAATGATTTTCCTAAAAATTCTTCATTACAGTCAGGACTCGAGGGCTGATGTCAATTATTTAAATAAATTTGTGCAGTTGAAATAATCCTAGGGAAGGATTGTCAACTACTCTGTAGCTAGCCTACTTGGTAAAGTATTACGATGTAGTACTCACAATTCCGGTTTGAATCCTAGTTTGTCCACTAATCTTTGTTACTCTCTGCATCTGAAACCTGCAGATTTTGGCTTGCCTGCTGGGGGAAACTGGTGTTCTGTATTGTGATGTCAACCTCCAACTCTAAATCCAATGCGGTTGTTGTCGGAATAACGTCAGCTGAGCCTGAGCTTCTTTCTTACACACCTCTTCTCATGGTGGAACAACAAGAGCAAGTAGAAGACACAGTTCCTGGCGCAGTTGACTATAAGCACTGCCCTGCCATCAGATCCAAGCATGGACAGTGGACTTCGGCTTCTTTCATCATTTGTAAGTTTATCAAGCCAATACCATTTTTGTTGACTTTAATCAAAATTTAATCTAATTTATTGTTAAAGGGGTGGAGATGGCGGAGAGGATGGCGTATTATGGGATATCAGGAAACTTGATAAGCTATTTAACGGGGAAATTGGATCAGTCAACGGCAATGGCGGCTTCGAGTATCAATGCCTGGAACGGGGTGGGTTGTTTGCTTACTATACTGGGGGCGGTTATTGCTGATTCTTTTGTGGGCAAGTATTATACAATCGTTGTTTCTTCCATCATTTACATCTTGGTAAGTTTTCAAGTATGATTGATTTATTGATTGATGATGAATTGGATAGTGAAAAAACAGAATTGCATGAAATATATAATTGAACTACACTGTTAGTGAATAATTTTAGGAATCACTATTGCAAAAACATTGGCTGCCAAAAAAAAAAAAGTAACTACATAAAAATATGAAATAAGTGATTGAATAAATGTTAATGCTCATGGTATGCTGTAGCTTTATTTTACTTAGGAAATTCTGTGTTTTATTTTGTTTTGGCAAGTCAGGGGTTATCTAAGATACGACCACAATCATTCAAGGTATATACCTTTACAATCATATGTCGATCACCATATATAACGTAAATCATCATACACACAAGAGATTATAGTTACCACCACATATTACTGAATTTACTATGATGATTTTACAAACTACCTTCTCTACCTACCAGAATAATACAGTAATTTTTTTTCACCTTGGATATAGCATGTTATTTTGGACTTGGTGGTAATCACATGTTGCTATATATACAGCAATTTTTTTTTTTATTTTTTTGGTAATGGAGTGCATTGTGTGAATATGCAGTAATATTTCCTATCCAATATTTATCTAATCTGAGTGCTTTGCTAGGGGCTGGGCTTGTTGACTTTATCAGCAACGTTGCCATCCTTTAGTTGTTTCAACCAAGATACAAGCGACGAGGTTTCTTCAGGACGTTCTCCACAGTCACAGATATTATTATTCTTTATTGCCCTTTACCTGGTGGCTGTTGGGCAAGGTGGTCACAAGCCTTGTGTTCAGGCTTTTGGGGCTGATCAGTTTGATGGAGAAGATCCTAAGGAGCGCAAAGCTAAAAGCTCTTTCTTCAACTGGTGGTATTTCGGTGTTTGCTTGGGTGGTTTGCTTGGTATTGGAGTATTGAGTTATGTTCAGGACAATCTTAGTTGGGGCCTTGGATTTGGAATTCCATGCATCATCCTGATACTTGCTCTGCTCATATTTATGTCTGGAACTATGACTTATCGCTACACTATGCAAGCTGAAGGGGAAAGTCCGTTCTCAAGGATTGGAAGAGTATTTGTTGTAGCGGCAAGAAATTGGAATGTTACACTTCCTGTGGTTGATGACAGGAGAGGAGAGTTAGAAGAAACCGAACCTCATGATAGATCTCAACCATTCAGATACCTAAATAAAGCTTTACTTGCACCTTGTATTGTAAAGAGAGGTGTAAAAGCTTGCAGCAAGAATGATGTTAAAGAGGCAAAGGCAGTGCTTAGGTTGTTTCCTATATGGGCAACAACATTGGTCTATGCAGTTGTCTTCTCACAGCCCAAAACTTTCTTTATCAAACAAGGCATTACATTGGATAGATCTCTCGGGTCTAGTTTTGCAATACCTGCTGCAACATTAATGTCTTTTAATGGCATCTGCATTATTTCCTTTATCCCGCTTTATGACCGTGTTCTTGTGCCAATGGCTAGAGAATTGACCGGAAAGCCTGCTGGCATATCAATGCTTCAGAGAATTGGAATCGGGTTGTTTTTATCCACCTTTACTATGATTATAGCTGCTGTCACAGAGAAAAAAAGGCTGCAGACTGCTGCAGAGCATGGGCTAATAGATTGTCCAAATGAGACAATCCCAATGAGAATTTGGTGGCTGCTTCCGCAATATGCTTCATTTGGAATTTCAGAGGCATTCACCATGATTGGCCTGCAAGAGTTTTTTTTACAATCAGGTGCCTAAGGAGTTGCGTAGTGTGGGACTGTCTCTATATCTGAGTATACTTGGCTTAGGAGGCGTTTTAAGTAGCTTTCTTGTTTTATTGATCAACAAAGCAACCACTAAAGGTGGGGGAGAGAGTTGGTTTTCAGATAACTTGAATCGAGCACATCTTGACTACTTCTACTGGCTGCTTGCTGGTCTTAGTGCCTTCAGTTTAGCTCTGTTCGTGTATTTTGCAAAGTCATACGTATACAATAAAAACAATGCTTAACTCGTATATAGAAGGTGATTATGCTTCTCATTGTTGTTATGGAAATTGTATGCTGTGAAATTGATATTTTGAGTTGTTAATCAGCTCACATACCAAGTTCACATTATACTACAAGTAGTTTATTACAGTACATACCAAAATCACATTATGTATAAACATCCTTTCATCTTAGACATCCAAATATAGTCACATCAAAAGATTCTTTTACTCTCAACGGCAGAAGACATTGAAGACCACATACATCAATTTTTTATTTGAGGGACATATCACCTAAGTTGTCAAATCATATATTTGATTGGTTCTGAGCTTCTGACCTCCTCCAAGTGGAGGAATTGATGGGCAATATCCTTTATTGGTGAATTCTGTCAACCAAATACTCCCTTCCTTTCATTTTACTTGCTCCACTTTAATTTTTTTTTTTTTTTAAAAAGAAACAAAAAACTCACAAAGATTAGTCAAATGGAGCGAGTAAAATGAGACTTGAGAGCACTCAGCATTTTTACAACGCAATAAAATTGAAAATTTACATCATTAGATGGTGTATTTTACAATTTTATTACAAAAATGACTGGCAAAGTTTAGGCTCTGCGTACATTATATGTTTTTTTAATCTGTAATTACGAAAATATCACTTAATTATCAGTCCTTTTAGTGCCTTAACTAGATACAACAGATACCTTGCTTTGATTGTCAATTTCAGATAATGCTGAACTCACTCCTTTGTACGAAGTATTAAGTTTGGTGCTGGAGCATGTGTTGGCTAGCCTCATTTGCAACCGACTTGGTAACTACCATGCCTGTTTTTTCCCTCTGCAAGTCATAATAATATACACCAAGGCGCTTTTGTGGTTTGCTTCAAATGACATTTGCCTGTGTTTTCAGATTGAGAACTTTCCTTACCAGCACAGAGGCATGGTCCATGTCCCGTCTACAATTCTTCGTGAGAAGGTCTTCCATGCTTTATACAAGGGCTAGCCTTCTTCTTTGATTAGAGTAGTAAGTCTGACTTATAATACTCAACGTATACTAGTTGCTAGTAAATTCAGCACTACTGCAACTGCAAGTTTACAGGTTTTTTAGATTGTATATATGATAAGTCATCATGGTTCTATTGTGCTTGTAAGAACCAGCCTCTAGGATAGAATTTCTTGAATTTTCGTAAAGCATATAATCAAATTCTACTTGCACTCAAAATGTGACATTTAAACCATATAAACCAAATATAAGTGCATAAATTTGGTTTAAGCACTTTTGTGTTGATCAATTTTTTTTTTTTTTTTTTTTTTTTTGATGTATGTATAGGGAGTCTTGAAAGGCGATACATGGGGGGATTATTCGGCCACTTCTCATGCTAAATTTGGTGTTTAGCTAGCTGATAATCACATTGTTATAAGTTGTCTACCTCTTTGAGTACTATTGCATACCAATATACCACACTTACCTTTATGAATACTAGAAGGGTAGTTTACTGCTTAACATGCTGGGCTTTATTGCTTAGTCGGGTCGTTCGGATACCCACCACTATTATTGACATGGGCTTGGAATGTTAGTTTGAGAATCTCATTTTTCCCCGTCTACCCTTGAAAGGGTGTGAATATTTTTATGTCCAAGGTCATTATCTATTTATTTTGCCTATGAAAGGGTGTGAATATTATTATGTCCAAGGTCATTATCTATTTATTTTGCCTACCCAACTCAACTGACTCTTCCCAATCTTATCATATGAAGGCCTGCTGCCAATTACAAGTACATATATAAACACGTGGAATTAGAATCACATGGGGAGTTGGGAATGTCATCAATTAGTCCGTAGCTAGCTTAATTGGTAAAGTTTTAAAATCACGGATACACTAGCCTTTGTTATGCTCACAGAAACACACATACACACCGACACACGCACTGACAGAGGCAATCTCGCTCTCTGCATCTGCAACCTGCAGATTCTGAGTTGCCTGCTGGTTAGAAAGTGGTGTTTTACATTGTAAATGTCATTCTCCAACTCTAAATCCAATGCTGCTGTTGTAGACTCAGCTGAGCCTGAGCTTCTTCCTTACACTCCCCTTCTTATGGCGGAACATCAACAACAACAAGAACAAGAACAAGAACAACAACAACAACAGCAACAACAAGACACTGTCCCTGGCGCAGTTGACTATAAGCACCGTCCTGCCATCAGATCCAAGCATGGACAGTGGACTTCCGCTTCTTTCATCATCTGTAAGTTTATTAAACTACTAACATCTTTGTTGACTTTGATCAAAATTTAATCGAATTTATTGTCAAGGGGTGGAAATGGCGGAGAGGATGTCATATTATGGGATATCAGGAAATTTGATAAGCTATTTAACGGGGAAATTGCAGCAGTCAACGGCAGTAGCAGCTTCTAGTATCAATGCTTGGAGCGGAGTAGGTTGTTTACTTACAATATTGGGGGCTATTATTGCTGATTCTTTTGTGGGCAAGTATTATACCATTGTTGCTTCTTCTTTCATTTACATCTTGGTAAGTTTGCAAGTATGATTGATTATGAATTGGACATTGAAAAGGTGAATAACATAAAATTATTGAGAGTATAATATTGCATAAGCTTTGACTTAAAGTAACTGCATATGAATATTTTGAGATTGACTGAATAATTGTAATGTTCATGGGTATATCACTATATTGTAGCTTGATTTACTTAGAAAATTCTCAGCAATTGTCTAAAATACGACCACAATCATATCATGAGAATCGAGTAACTACATTTCTACAATTACCTTCATTAACAGAGAATATGTTGTGTGAATATGCTGTTATATTTCAATCCGATATTTATCTAATTTAGGTGGCTTAATAGGGGCTGGGCTTGATGACTTTATCAGCGATGTTAACATCCCTCAGTTGTTTCAACCAAAATACTAGCAACGAGGGAACTTCAGGATGTTCTCCCAATTCACAGATAATATTATTCTTTGTTGCCCTCTACATGGTAGCTGTTGGGCAAGGTGGTCACAAGCCTTGTGTTCAGGCTTTCGGGGCTGATCAGTTTGATGGAGAAGATCCTAGGGAGCGCAAAGCCAAAAGCTCATTCTTTAACTGGTGGTACTTTGGAGTTTGCTTGGGTGGTTTGGTTGGTATCGGAGTCTTGAGCTATGTTCAAGACAATCTTAGTTGGAGCCTTGGATTTGGAATCCCATGCATCATAATGATAATTGCTCTGCTTATATTTATGGCTGGAACTATGACTTATCGCTACAATATGAAAGTCGAAGGGGAAAGTCCGTTCACAAGGATTGGAAGGGTATTTGTTACAGCAACAAGAAATTAGAATGCTACACTTCCTGTGGTTGCTAACAGAGGAGAGCTTGAAGAAACCAAACCTTATGATAGTTCTGAGACATTCAGATTTCTAAATAAAGCTTTACTTGTACCTGACATTGTGTAAGGAGAGGTGTAAAATCTTGCAGCAAGAATGATGTTGAAGAGGCAAAGGCGGTACTCAGGCTGTTTCCTATATGGGCAACAACTCTGGTCTTTGCAATCGTCTTCTCACAACCCACAACTTTCTTCACCAAACAAGGCATTACAATGGACAGATCACTCGGGTCTAATTTTGCAATACCAGCTGCAACATTGATGTCTTTTAATGGCATCTGCATAATATCCTTTATCCCAATTTATGATCGTGTTCTTGTGCCAATGGCTAGAAAATTGACCAGAAAGCCTGCTGGCATATCAATGCTTCAGAGAATTGGAATTGGGTTGTTTTTATCCATCTTTACTATGATAATAGCTGCTGTCACAGAGAAAAAAAGGCTGCAGACTGCTGTTCAGCATGGGCTAATAGATTTTCCTAATGAGATGATCCCAATGAGAATTTGGTGGCTGCTTCCACAATATGCTTTATTTGGAATCTCAGAAGTATTCACCATGATTGGCCTGCAAGAGTTTTTTTTACGATCAGGTGCCAAATGAATTGCGTAGTGTTGGATTGTCTCTATATCTAAGTATAATTGGCTTAGGAGGCATTTTGAGTAGCTTTCTTGTTTCATTGATCAACAAGGCAACCAGTAGAGATGGGGGAGAGAGTTGGTTTTCAGATAACTTAAATCGTGCACATCTTGACTACTTCTACTGGCTGCTTGCGGGTCTTAGCGCCTTTAGTTTAGCTCTTTTCGTGTATTTTGCAAAGTCATATTTATACAATAAAAACAAGTGTTAGCTCATGTAACAAGATGCTGATATGCTTCTCAATGTTGAACTGATATTATAAGTTACATGCTAAATGTTAAGACCAGGTATCAGTGACCAATGTTTGGAGTGAAAATTGTATACTACCTCCGTTATATATTATTTGCAATGATTAGACATTTTTTCTCTCTACTTTATGTCAAATCGTTGCAAATAACATGTAACGGAGTTAGTATTTGAGTGAATCAACTCATATACCATGGTACCAACTACCAAGTTCACATTGTACTACAACTAGTTTATTACAAAGTATAGTACGTACCAATTCACATTTTATTTTTCACTTACTAAATCAATAAAAAAAAATCAATAAAATCAATAGTTTATTTAATGACCATAATCTCTGCACTAATTTATTTAATGACCATAATATCTGCACTAGTTTATTAATGAACTTTATTAACTTATTTAAAGATCAATTTTTTTTTTTTTTTTTTTTTTTTTATTTGACAGAAAGTAACAAAATATATTAGCTTTTTAAAAATCATTGTTAGAATCACCTTTTTATCCAAAAAAAATCCCTCAAATTCATCCAAAAAGATTTCTTGTTGGCAAAAATGGCAACTTCAGCTGAGCTTCTCCCATACACACCCCTTCTGACGGCGGAGCAACCGCAACAACCACCGCACGAAGCCACCGTCCCCGGCATCGTTGACTACAAACACCGCCCCGCCGTCAGATCAAAACATGGACGGTGGTTATCTGCTTCTTTCATCATTTGTAAGTTGATCATGCATTCCCATTAATTCATTTCAAATGATGATTTTTTTTAGTATTAATTGAATTTATTTTTCAAAATCAAGGGGTGGAAATGACAGAGAGGATTGCATGTTTTGGGATTTCTGGGAATTTGATTAACTTTCTAACTCAGAAATTAGGACAGTCAACGGCAATGGCGGCTTCAAATGTCAGTGCTTGGGTTGGAGTTTCTTTCTTACTTACTATTTTTGGAGCTGTTGTTGCTGATTCTTTTTTGGGAAAGTATTATACTATTGTTGCTTCTTCCCTAATTTACATATTGGTTAGTCCTCTTACTTTATTATTCTAATTTTAATTAATTGCTCTTTTGATTTGTGTGTTTTAAATTAATTTCTTTCTTAATTTTCTTTTAAAGCCTGTACACATTTACTTAATTTCAGTTCAGTTCAGCTCCAATCAGTTCAGTTCAGTTCAGCTCTTAATTTCCCTCTCTCATAAAATATTCATTTCAGCTCAATTCAGTTCAGTTCAGCTCAGCTCAGCTCCAATCAGTTCAGTTCAGTTCAGCTGAGTTCAGTAAATGTGAACAGGCCCTTAGTTTGTGTGTGTTAATATTTGATGGGTATTTATGATACTATAAAATTATTTGTGGGATGTGTGATTTCTAGTTGATTAATTTTGTTGTTGTTTTCGTTGTTATTGATGAGGAATAGGGTGGTTGAGAAAAAAGTGAATCACATAGACTACTTTATGACAATGTTAATGACTTGGTTTCCTAGTTGGAGCAAGGATTGAATACTTTGAGAAAACAAACATCTCAAGGCAAATATTGTTGTAGTAGAGTGGTATCATGTGATTTTTTGACAATATATGATGGTATGAATCGCACATAAATCAGTTTCATGTGAAGTGCTTGGTGGTTTTGTTTATGTGCGGAAACTGATTTACTGTCCTTGAAGATAGTCTCTTTGGAATTCATACTTCATAGTCTAAAGTAATGTAACTACATAATTACGAAGAGCGAAGTATTTTTTATAGAGTATGTGTGAGTGATCTAGCTTTGTCAAATAAGTGTTGTTTTAAACTTGTTAGTATGCTATCCTTTCAAAAAAAAAAAAAAAAACTTGTTAGTATGCTAAGAAGTACATAATGTATTCCGATATATCTCAACTGCATGGATTACCACTTGCCAGGGGCTAGGCTTACTGACTTTATCAGCAATGCTACCTTCTTTTGAATGTCTCAACCAAGAAAGGAGCATCAAGGGTGCTGCATGTTCGTCTCATTTGCAAATAGTAATGTTTTTTGTTGCCCTTTATTTGGTGGGTGTTGGGCAAGGTGGGCACAAGCCTTGTGTTCAAGCTTTTGGTGCTGATCAGTTTGATGGAGAAGATCCTAGGGAGCGCAAAGCCAAAAGCTCTTTCTTTAACTGGTGGTATTTTGGTGTTTGCATGGGTGCTTTCCTTGGTACTGGGGTCTTGAGCTATATTCAGGACAACCTTAGCTGGGGCCTTGGATTTGGAATTCCATGCATTCTCGTGGTAATTGCTCAGCTCATATTTTTGCTCGGAACTATGAATTATCGCTACACTATGAAGAGTGAAGGAGAAAACCCATTCAAAAGGATTGGAAGAGTGTTTGTTGCAGCAGCACGGAATTGGAATGCTTCACCTACAGTGGCTGGTGACAATGAAGAGGCACAAGAAACCAAACTCCATGATGAATCTCGTCAATTCATGTTCCTCCGCAAAGCTCTTCTTAGGCCTGAGATATCAAATACAAGTGTAAAAGCTTGCAGCATGAGTGAGGTTGAAGAAGCAAAAGCAGTACTTAGGCTGTTTCCTATATGGGCAACAATATTGGTCTATGCTATGGTCATCGTACAGCCTGGAACTTTGTTCACCAAACAAGGAATGACATTGGATAGATCAATCGGTTCTAACTTTTTCATACCAGCTGCAGCATTACAATGCGCTGTTTATATTTGTGTTTTTATCTGTATCCCGATTTATGATCGTGTGCTTGTGCCAGTTGCCAGAAGATTGACCGGTAAGCCTGCTGGGATATCAATGCTTCAGAGAGTTGGAACTGGGTTGTTCATATCCATCTTTTCTATGGTGGTTGCTGCTGTCACCGAGAAAAAAAGGCTGAAGACTGCTTTGCAACATGGGCTGATTGATAGGCCTGATGTTACAATCCCAATGAGTATTTGGTGGTTGCTTCCGCAATATGTTGTGTTCGGAATTGCAGAGGTATTTACCATGATTGGACTGCAAGAATTTTTCTATGATCAGGTTCCAAATGAATTGCGCTCTGTCGGGTTATCTCTATATTTAAGCATATTTGGTGTCGGAGGCCTTTTAAGCAGCTTCCTTATCTATGTTATCAACAAAACAAGCAGCAGAAGTGGGGGAGAGAGTTGGTTTTCAGATAACTTGAATCACGCTCATCTTGATTACTTCTATTGGCTACTTGCTGGTCTAAGTGCCTTAGGCTTGGCCCTTTTTGTGTATTTTGCAAAATCATACATATACAATGAAAACAAAACTCGTTTATAAAAGGTGATATAATGCTTCCCCATATAGTACTGAAATTGTTATGTTAAATGTATGTTCAAGGTCTTACTAAGATTCTAGCTGGTGGAATGCAGGAATCCAGGCATCAAAGGAACATTCTGCAGAAGATTCAGAGTCTCACTGGGTCGTTCCACTGCTTCTCGTGTAGTACCTTGGGGCCGGGTCAAACAGAGCTAGGCCCTTTTGCTTCCTTGTCAAGGTCTACGAATTTGGTCAAGAAACTAATTGAAAGGAGGTTACATGTCCAAAAGGTTGTTGACATTTTGCCTCTTGTTAGATGCTTATTTCTTGTTAGTATATAAATATGGATTAGGGCACTATATGAATATTTTTCCTTTTAACTGTAAATGCAATTTCCTAGACTCGTTGATTTATTAATAAAGATTATATTAATGGTTATATAATTCATGGCATGTATACTAAATTTAGTAAGTAGAAAATAATTAAATCAAATTTGTTTGAGTGAATTATTACAGTCAGCTTCCTATACTATAGCTCTCTAATCTCCCTATGTCTTGCATTGGTATTCCCTCCATGAGTTGCGGATGACCATATGGAAGTTGTGCATTAGAAATGTCCACATACTTACAACTACAATTTTAACGCCATTTGGTTTTCTTTAATTTGTTGTTAAGCTCACTAAATTAAAAGAGCATTTCCTACATACAATTTTACACCTACACTAGCTAGCTCACGTACTTCTCATGGAAGATCAGCAAGAAGACACCGTAACCGGCACCATAGACTATAAGCATCGTCCTGCGGTCCGATCCAAGTATGGATGCTGGATATCTTCTTGCTTCCTTATATGTAAGTTGAATTTTTTTGGAAGGCATGCAATTTTTGTAATGCTATGTTTTGTATATTTTGTCAATTGTTGTAGTATAATTAAATTAATATGGAATAATTTTAAATTTTTAAAATGTGCATGCACGGGGCTTAAACTACGTAAATATAATAATAATAACCGGTATGTATGTATTCTTGTCTGAATAAATTAAGGGGTGGAGGTGGCGGAGAGCGTAGCATATTCTGGTGTATCAGGAAACTTGATCAATTTTTTGACAGAGAAAATGAGTCAGTCAACGGCAACGGCAGCTGCTAATGTCAATGCTTGGAAAGGGGTGGGTTGTTTGCTTCCCTTCTTAGGGGCTGCTATTGCTGATACATTTATGGGCAAGTATTATACCATTCTTGCTTCTTCCATCATATATATCTTGGTTAGTACAAAAAAACACTTGTAAACTCATTTTTATTTTGTATTTATACATGCCATTCTTGAGAAATGGTTTCCTTTGTGTTAGTAAATCGTTTTTAGTTATACGTACACATGGACTCGAGTTAGATTCCGAGTTTGTAGATTTGTTAAGATGTACATGAAAATGATGAATTCTAATAACTAATCACATAATATCAGGGGCTAGGCATGCTAAGTATATCAGCAGGGCTACCTTCCCTTAGCAAGGAGAGTTCTGGACGGCCACAGATTTTGCAGAAAGTGGTATTTTTTGTTGGCCTTTATCTAGTGGATGTCGCCAGAAGCGGGCACAAGCCGTGTATACAGGCTTTTGGTGCTGATCAGTTTGACGGAGCACACCTACAGGAGAGCAAAGCCAAAAGCTCTTTCTTTAATTGGTGGAGTTTTGGTATTGCTATTGGTGCTTTGCTAGGTCTTGGATTGTTGAGTTATGTTCAGGATAACCTCAGTTGGGGCCTCGGATTTGGAGTTTCATGCATTATCATGGTAATTTCCTTTGTCTTATTTTTGCTTGGAACTATGACTTATCGCTACACTCTCAAAGTTGAAGGAGAAAATCCATTCAAGAGTATTGGAAGAGTGTTTGTGAGAGCAGCCAAAAATTGGAATTCATCTGCACCTCCTGTTCTTGTAATTTGTGACGAAGAAGAGGCACAAGAACCCCAACCTCGTCAGTTGAAATTCTTCGACAAAGCTTTAATTGCACCTGATGGGGAAGGAAATGGAAAAGCTTGCAGTGAGAGCGAGTTTGAAGAGGCAAAGGTTGTACTTAGGCTGTTTCCCATATGGGCAGTAACTTTAATCTTTGCGATGGTCTACGCCCAACATGGGACATTGTTTACCATACAAGGTGTCACATTTGATAGAAAAATTGGGTCTAGCTTTACATTGCCAGCAGCATCCTTACAATGTGTCATGGACATCACCATTCTTATCTTAGTCCCTATATACAATTATATGATTGTGCCACTAACCAGGAAATTGACTGGAAAACCTGCTGGAATATCAATACTTCAAAGAGTTGGAATTGGGTTTTTCATAACCATTATTACAATGGTAGTAAGCGCTGTCATAGAGAACAAAAGGCTTAAAACTGCTTCGCGGCATGGGCTGATTGATTCGCCTGATGCAACCGTGTCAATGAGCATTTGGTGGCTGATTCCCCAGCATGTCTTGTTTGGAATGACTACCATATTTACCATGACTAGCTTGCAAGAATTTTTCTATGATCAGGTCCCAAATGAATTGGGTAGTGTTGGGCTCGCGCTATATGCAAGTATACACGGCTTAGGAGACTTTTTAAGTAGCTTCCTTGTATCATTCATCAGCAAAGCAAACCAGAAGAAGTAGGGAAGGTAATTGGATTCCGGATAATTTGAATCGATCTCACCTTGATTATTTCTATTGGTTGCTTGCTGGCCTTAGCCCAGTAGAATTGATTCTTTTCGTATATTTTGCAAAATCATACACATATAACAAAAACAAGGGTCATTAAAAAAGGTATTAGAATGCTTCGCTCCATAAAAAAACACTTCGCTCTTCGTAATTATGTAGTTACGACATTACTTCAGACTATGAAGTATGAATTCGAGGGAGACTATCTTCAAGGACTGTAATCAGATTCTGCACATAAACAAAACCAACAAGCAATTCACATTAAACAACTGAGATTAAACAAATTTATAAAAGGGGGAAAAAAAGAGTAATAATCCTACCAATGATACCCATGATAGTATATAGATCCATTTTTGCTTAGCTTTTAAGAAAGTATTCGAATTTTATACTATTACATTAATAAGGGGGGTCAAAATATGTCGTACATGCTGATAACTTTGTTGTAGGTTATGTCGATAAAAGATGAAATCTATTAGGATTTCATTGTTTAGGTAAAAAATAGGTCAAACTTTTGGGTCAATTGATTCCAATTAATTACGAGTAATCTAAAATCTAATGTTTATCAATACACATAATTTAACATTTATTAACGATGTGTAATATAATATCTGTGTGGTTCAGTTTCACGTAATTTGTTAATTTATTTATAGTTATAATATAATTTATTTATGATATTTGAACCACTTATATAAAATGTTATATACGCTCTTGTAGCTATGTCCAATATAATTTAATTTAAAGTATAAAAAAAATTATCTAACAAATAAATATAAAATTAAACTTGTAGGAAAGATTTTAAATTTTAGAGATATAGTGACTTAGTGAGGGGATGGAAGGTTATTATCAACATTGAGTTCATACCTCTTAAACATCGTCATAATAATAATTTTCCAAATCTATTATTTGAGAGGAAGCGGTACATGATGATAGCTTAAAAGGAAAATGGCTGACAAAAGTTTTTGTAGCTCCCGTAGATGACAATGTAATTGTGACAATAGAGAATTCAAGTTTCTCTACCAAAAAGTTGATTGTTAATTGCAATTTCGTTGCATTCAACTAGTGCCATACTGTGGTGTACTTTTTTTTTTTTTTTTTTTTTTTTAATGATAAAACTATCTCTATTCATTTTTTTTGTTCTATTTCATGTATATTACAAATTTAAAATTATTATTTGTCGAATTTAACATTATTCATATTTACGACCTATTTAGATTGCCTAAACATGCATATCCAAAATGTTAAATGTTAAATGTCAAATATTGCTCTATATGTCATATAAAACTACTGGTCGTTTTCGGTGGCCGTTTTTAATGGTTTGAGAAACGAGAGCTGTTTTTGGTGGTCGTTGGGGAGGGCAATTGATTTTGGGGAGGGGGGGAGGGAAAGAGGGGATTTTCTGATGGTTGCGGCTGTTAAGATAGGTGAGAGAATGGTAGCGGCACGCTACGATGGTGGGGCTGATGGTGGGGGTGGGGTGGCTGGGGTAGTTTAAGGGTTTTTTGTTTTTTTTTTTAATTGTTTTGGACCAATAATATGCAGATACGTGGCATTGTAGGTCCCATTAAGTTGTGTTAAAATAAAAGTTTTTTTTTTTTCATTTTTTTCGTTTTTTATGGTGTTAAAATTCAAAATAGGGTAAAATTTATTTTACAAAAAACTTACTTACTCCATTTCTATTTTGTTGACGGTTTCAATTTAAGTACACACATTATGAGGGGGAGAAAGAGAATAATAAACAAATGGGGTACACTAAAAAAAAGTATAAAACTTAGCCAATATAAAAACGCGCCAACTAATAATAAACTTTTTTAAAAGGAATATGTGTCAACTTAAAAAAACCGGAGTTTTTATAGTATGTAATCATGATTCTATTGGAAATTATACATTAAAATATAATTCAAACCAACGAGAAATTACAAATTAGCTTTTAAGGGGTAAAAGTTACCCTCAAACTAGAAGACCTTGTCCACTTATTATAAATTTCACCAAAATTTGCTCTTTCCCAAAAATTGCATTGTTATTATTGATTGTTGATATTGTGTATAAATTCCCTATTGATTGTTAAAGTTCTATGCAATTAGACCCGATTTAATTGTATTAGTATGACATTCTATTAATCGAGGGATGTAATTTTAATATAATGGCTAATTTCAATAGGTAAAATTGGATTTAATATCTGTGAGAGCCTATGAAGTCTAAAATTCTATGATTAATAAATGTAAGAGCTAGTTAATTTGATAAACAAATGTGTTAATCTAATTACGGGGTACTTCCTCCGTCTCATAATACATGAGACGTTTAACTTTTTTTCACTATTTATGCATTAGATTTGATCATAATTTTTTCACTAACATAATAAAAAATATATTATATCATAAAATATGTTTTTAGATAGGTTTTAATATAAAGTTTCATAATACAATTTTAAAAATAACTTTCATTACTATTTAATTGTATAAAAATAAAGTCAAACTAGTGTATTGATATGTATGCAATGTTTGATTGTGTTATGTATTATGAGACAAAAGGTGTATTCTATAAAAGTGTTTCGTATATTAAGGAAAAATTAACATGAATAATCCGAACTTTTCGTGATCTTCCAATAATAAGTCGAAATTTGATTAAAAATCTCAACTTTACTACTACCATTCTATTATTGGGTAAATGGAAATTTTAATCAGATGGAAATTTTAATTAGACTGCCCATGCCACATAAGCAAGTTAGCCTCTATGGTGCGGTTAAAATTTTCATTTATTCAATAATAGAATAGTAGTAGTAAAGTTGAGGTTTTTTCACACTTGAAAATCGTAAAAAGTTAAAAAAAATCATTAAAATATATTTTTTTTTGAATAAAAAAATCATCAAAATATAAACACTAATTTACGCGTATTTTTGTCATGAATTTTTAATTTTATACAATTTTCAAGAGTGTATTTAATGCTTATATATAGCCCTTAGGACTACATATAGCATTACTTTTTTTAATAAATCAAAATTTGACTTATTATTAGAAGATCACAAAAAGTTTAGATTACTTATGTTAATTTTTCCTAAAATTAATGCTCTAGTTAAAAATAAACAAAAAAAAAAAAAAAAAGTAATAGTCAACATTGGGTTACTCTGCTACTTGACCAAAAACAGGCAAAATTGCAAAAATGAGTATTAAATCTCCTCAGTTTACCCAGGTGGTGGCTGAAGAGAGGAGAGAGAAAATGGCGGCCGCCATAACTGTAGCTTCTTCTGCAATTGACGCTCAAACTCCATTTCTACCCTTGCAAGAAGATACCGTCGATGGCGCCGTCGATTACAAAGGCTGCCCCGCAATTCGATCCAAACATGGTCGTTGGAGATCCGCTTCTTTCATCATTGGTTAGTCAATCAACAAACCCATTTCCAATTTCATCAAAATCAAATATTTATCATCTTCTTGGACGTGAATTTTTCATAAATTTTCTGGGTTTTTTTTTTTTTTTGTTAATTTTGTAGGGGTGGAAGTTGCAGAGAGAATTGCTTATTATGGTATAACATCGAATTTGATTAGCTATTTAACTGGACCGTTAGGCCAGTCAACAGCTACTGCAGCAGCAAATGTCAATGCTTGGAGTGGATTTGGGTCTCTTTTCCCTGTAATTGGTGCGATTATTGCTGATTCTTTTCTGGGTCGATATCGCACCATTGTTGTAGCTTCCTTTATTTACATCTTGGTTAGTCTTTCTTTATTCTAATCTGTAGAAGTATTTGTTAGATTGATTTTTTTTTTTTTTACAGTTTTGTTTGATTGATTTTGGGAGCTGAGCTTTTGGGTAATATAATACGAAGTATAATATATAGTCATGAGTGTAATTAGAGTAGTCATATAATTAATTAATTAGTTGATTTTTTAGCAAAGTTTGTTGTGTTGAATGTTCTTATTGATTACGAGTATGAATAACAGGAAATTGTTTTATGTATGACAATATCAACTAATTTGGATTTTTTTAAAGTAGTTAGGGGTGTAAACCTTTATTAAAGTTGATGCCTTTATGGGTATTATCACCATGATGTTATTTTCTGGATTTGGTTAGAATCTTGTTTTTATTGAGTTTTGACTTGATTTAATTAAAAGACTAAAGGACCTTTAGTGCTTTAATTAATTTGGATGTTCGTCTCCATCATAATTGCCCACCTAAACCATGCTATGCTTCCTGTTTGTTGTGAAATAGTGTGTCATTTTGTGCGTATTAAACAAGGATACAATGGAAACAGTTTTTCACTTTTGCAAGTAAGGCCGAATACCTTTGACTTTCGTACCAAGAAGTAACAATAATCTATACTAAGACAATGTTATCCTATGCAATAGATGAATTGAATGATTTTGAACTCAGAGTTCTAGCCCTTTATTTTTGAATTATGGATGACAGGTCCAATATGGTAGACAAGTTATGGGGAATGCTTTTCTCTCTTGCATACAAGTTGATTTCGGTATTGGTTACCCCACATTTTTGTTGAGCCTTGTTTTGGGGTGTGTTGAGTGATAGTTGGCTTATATAAGTAATTGAAATCAAAAGGCTTGTGCCCATGATGATTGATGATATAGTGTTTGTTATATCCTACTAGTTAGACAAGACAAAATATATTCTTATTTGTATCACCTAGTGAGGTCAATTAAATGGGTCATGTCAGAAACCTTGGATCTAAATCTGTCTGGGAAACTTGGTTGTATCATACTTTCAGCACCACCTCAATTCTTATAAGTTGGTGGTGGGGGAGCTCCACTCAAGCCTGTTAGATCCTAGGTTAATAATTCATCAACTGCCCTACTACATTGCAACAACATAAGAGGAGATAATATTTAAATAGAATGTTTACCACTAAGAAGCATCATTGAAAAACTTCTTTATGTTGATTTCAACTGTGTTGGTCATTTTAATATGAAGTATGCCCATTAAAATAATAGATACAGATTTATCCTGGTTCGCGTATGTAAGTGGCTTTATATTCAATG